AATTTTTTAGTAGTAGCAGGTCCACCCGTACGCCATCAGACAATCAAAATTGGTAAAAACGAAAATAAAAATTTATTTCATCCAAATTTATTTAATCTAATCATCTGAAAATTACCAGAGTTCTAGTAGGGACTGAACCCTACACAATGCTGAAGAATAGAGAATTTTATTTGAATTTTTTAGTAGTAGCAGGTCCACCCGTACGCCATCAGACAATCAAAATTTGGTAAAAACGAAAATAAAAATTTATTTTATCCAAATTTATTTAATCTAATCATCTGAAAATTACCAGAGTTCTAGTAGGGACTGAACCCTACACAATCCTGAAGAATAGAGAATTTTATTTCAATTTTTAGTAGTAGCACCCTCACCCGAACGCCATCAGACAATCAAAATTTGGTAAAAACGAAAATGAAAATTTATTTCTTCCAAATTTAACAATTCTAATCATCTGAAATTTTCCAGAGTTCTAGTAGGGACTAAGCCCTACTCAATACTAAAGAATAGAGAATTTTATTTCAATTTTTTAGTAGTAGCACCCTCACCCGAACGCCATCAGACAATCAAAATTTGGTAAAAACGAAAATAAAAATTTATTTCTTACAAATATAACAATTCTAATCATCTGAAATTTTCCAGAGTTCTAGTAGGGACTGAGCCCTACTCAATCTTGAAGAATAGAGAATTTTATTTCAATTTTTAAGTAGAAGCACCCTCACCCGAACGCCATCAGACAATCAAAATTTGGTAAAAACGAAAATGAAAATTTATTTCTTACAAATTTAACAATTCTAATCATCTGAAAATCACCAGAATTCAAGTAGGGACTGAGCCCTACTCAATCCTGAAGAATAGAGAATTTTATTTCAATTTTTTAGTAGTAGCACCCTCACCCGAACGCCATCAGACAATCAAAATTTGGTAAAAACGAAAATAAAAATTTATTTCATCCAAATTTATTTAATCTAATCATCTGAAAATTACCAGAGTTCTAGTAGGGACTGAACCCTACACAATCCTGAAGAATAGAGAATTTTATTTGAGTTTTTTAGTAGTAGCAGGTCCACCCGTACGCCATCAGACAATCAAAATTTGGTAAAAAACGAAAATAAAAATTTATTTTATCCAAATTCATTTAATCTAATCATCTGAAAATTACCAGAGTTCTAGTAGGGACTGAACCCTACACAATCCTGAAGAATAGAGAATTTTATTTGAGTTTTTTAGTAGTAGCAGGTCCACCCGTACGCCATCAGACAATCAAAATTTGGTAAAAACGAAAATAAAAATTTATTTTATCCAAATTCATTTAATCTAATCATCTGAAAATTACCAGAGTTCTAGTAGGGACTGAACCCTACACAATCCTGAAGAATAGAGAATTTTATTTGAGTTTTTTAGTAGTAGCAGGTCCACCCGTACGCCATCAGACAATCAAAATTTGGTAAAAACGAAAATAAAAATTTATTTTATCCAAATTTATTTAATCTAATCATCTGAAAATTACCAGCGTTCTAGTAGGGACTGAACCCGACTATACACTAGATAGCATGTGTATCTTAACACTTTTAAATAATTATTCTAAAATAAAAAATTATACAATAGGTATATATTGTATTGAGGAAGCTAAATGATCATGAAATGATCAACTTGTTTTTATATTGCTTCCTCATAAAGGAAGCCTTATTGTGATGTCGATTTCCGAATTTTTTAGAACCAATTATTTTTACAAATTTTCAAGTGTAGTATATATAATTCGTCGAGAGGAACAAATGTCCGGATGTATGTGTGTATGTATGTGTGTGTGTGTGTATGTATGTGTGTGTGTGTGTGTGTATGTCACCGATTCTTGTGGACAAATTTTCTCTTACACGTCTTGACGGATTTTGATAAAATTTTGTAGGTGTATTACGGTCTTGAATACCAAAAATCAGACAAAAGGATTTTCAAAAATATCTAAAAAAAAAAATTTTTTTCAACAATTTTTTAATTTTCGAAAAAATAATTTTTGGATTTTTTGAAGTAACTTTTTTCTATATTAAAATTTTTATTAATTCTTTTTAAAATTGCATTTCTGACATAAAAACGAATCGATTCATGTATATAAAGTATATATTTTATCAAAATTTATAGAATTAATAAATATTTTAAATTTTCACAAAAAATTGAAATTTTGTATTTTTTGACATTTTATCTTAACACTTTAAAATAATTATTCTAAAATAAAAAATTAAACAATTGGTATATATTATATTGAGGAAGCTTAATGATCATGAAATGAACAACTTGTTTAAATAATTGAATTCTCGTAGAACTTTCTAATTAAGATCTGATTTAAAACTTAATTTTTGTGAAAATTTTAGATAATAATTGAATATTAAAATCTTTTATTTAAATTGATATCTTTGAAAATTGGAATTCTTGTAAAACTAATAATATTTTTATTTTTATACAAAAAAATTTTTAATTTATTATTTTCTTAAAAAATAAGTAAAGTTTTGAATAATTTTAATTAAGGGTTTAAATAAAACATTTAAATATGTCATTTAATTAAAAATTTCAATAAAAACATTATTAAATTTTAAAAGAGTTACAGTTGTAACTTTTTTTAAAATTTTTGTGGAAGAATAAATAAGCTTTTTAATATTTGTGACGCGCTCCCAAGAAAGGTACCTAAGAAGCAAAAAATTTGAGGTTATGTTTTAAATTTTTTTGAGTAAAAATACAGAAAGAAAATCAATTATTAATTAAAAATTGTTGGTCTTCAAGTCTTCATTATATTCAAAATATTTAATGAATATTGGTTTCAAATTCAAATAATTAAAAATGAACTTTTAATCAAGATAAATCTAACTCAAACCCAACCTATAATTCGTTTGCTTCTTAGGTACCTTTCTTCGGGTCGCGTCACATTTATTTAACAAATATTATTTAAGTTTTAAATGTAATTAAAGTTAGAAATTATGAAAAAATTAGTCTTTCTTTTTCTCTTTCGTCTTTCTTTCTTTAGTATTTCGTTTTTATCGTTTTTTTTTTAAATTGGATAATTAAAAAGTTTTGAAGATAGTTACATTCCTGTAAATAATTTTGTAAAAGTTTAGAATTGAAATTATGTATTAGCAGTAGGTATAAGAAAAACATAAATATTTTTATATGAAAATTATAAAAAATTAATGCAAATACAATGCAGAATCAACTGTTTGTGATTTTTGTGAATAGTCCAAAACGAAGCTACTTTTTACTACTTTTCTCGTTGTTAAAGCTACTTTTTTTAAAATTAATTATCGAGCGCGAAGCCTGAAACCCCGAAATTGTTTGCTTAAACAATTTTGACTTTTTATATGATAAATTTTAAAATTCTCTTTCTGATTCTAAAAAAGAATATTCGAAATAATAACAAAATCGGATGCAAATTTTTTTTTCAAAGTCTAACTCGTAAAACGAAAAGCTCAAACTCACAATTTTCTCGAAACTATCAAATTGATACTAAAGTGGATCAAATGGATGCCAAATATTTAGATCAATTTTTTATTTTATCCACATTTTGGTATATCAATTCGTTCCAATTTGATACTATTAAGTTAATAGTATTTGAGCAAAAAAAAAGTACATTAAATAGAGGTTAAGAGAGAAATTTTTTTTAAAATCTTAAAAGGAATTTTATTGTTTGCGCAAATATTCAGATTTGATAATTTTTTAAGATATCTTCAGAAATTTTACCTCGTAAAGTAATTCGAAAAAATAGGTCAATTTTGCAGTCGCGTCTATATATTTAGTTTCGCTTTAAAATAAAATAAATTTTACTCTTGATAAGAAGAAAAAAATAGGGAAAAAATTGTTGATAAAAAATAGTAGACATCATATGAAGTTGTATACGAAAGTTTGTAGAGAAAGTTTTTCAATTTTTATACACAGTTTTTGTCTTGTTTCTTACTTTTTTTTTTAAAGAAAGAAACCTTTTCTTTTAAATTTTCTCGCAATGCAATTCAGGCAACAATATTGCGAATCAATAAACACATGGAATGCTGCAAGAAGACAGACAAGCGAGACAGAGAGTGCACTTGAGCCAGCTGCAGTACCATTCAGCACTCGTATCATCAATATTCTTCTTCGGTCTGTCGGCAGCAGCAGCCGAGAGTGATATCGATCCAATAGCCAATTAGGGCTAAAAGGTCCTTCAAGGAAAATTAGCGCTCCTCAGAGTCTTTATTCTTCTCAAGTCTTTTTTTTTCTTTCTTTCTTTCTTTTTTTTCGTTTCTTCTTGCTGTCTCACTTCTTCTCTTATTCCTTATCGTTAAAAAAATGGTCCTCTCTCGTCTTTTGAAAAAAGGGAACTGTGGGGTTAAATAAGATTTAGGTATCTAATAATAATATTGACGTGTCTGGTATCGGGAAGTAAATAGAGAAAACCTAAAAGGGATGAAAAAAATAAAAGGAAACAAAACATCCCACGCGGTATTGGTCTAGCGTAATCTGACAGTGCATTTAACCACTTTACGAAATAGCCGTATATCTCTCGTAGCGTGACGTAGTATTCGATACCGTGGCAAGTGATGCGCGCGCGCGTGTTCAGTTGGTACGCGTGGTGGTGGGGATGGAAGTGGAGTTGAAGTCTGGAACGAGTAGTGGGATAAGGGTGAGTTTAGTATCGAGGGAGCACGAACTATTGGGGGTGGTTGTGGAATCACGGTGTGTCGGTCTATAGTTCACCAACAAGAGAGAGAAGAAGGGTGCGCCCACTTCGCGTCAACGTTTACCCTCGCGACGAGAAAGAGAGAATATTTCATGTTGTGTGCGGGTTTTTACGAATGTTTTTCTTTGTGTCGTTGTCGATGCCGTTCGGGTCCAGTTTCTCTTTGTCTCCAGGCATTGGGCACAGTTTCCATTTTATCGCGCGAATGTTCTCTCAGTGTTTTTGTCGAGTGTGCGGGTCACTCGTGTTTGCCATAGAGTGTCGGTAAAGTGAGCAAGAAGATAACTCGGTGGATATTTCCAGATTCCCCCCAACCCACCCCCCCAAAAAAATTTAACAGGAGATGTTTTTTTTACTTTAGTGTGTATATAGGTGGTGTTTGGTGGGATTTTTGTGTTCGGAGTGATTTGCAATGGAGGTCCGGGAAAGACCTTTTGCTCTCGTGTAATTAGTTTTGGTGGGCAAAATTTACAAGGGCCCTTTGATCGTATGTAACCAACTGGAGTACTCGAGAAAGGGAGATGAGTGCGAGTGCACCGGCCTCAGAAGGGTTTGTGTCGAGAAAGCTGGGGTGAAAATTCTGAAAGAGAGAAACTAGGGTTGAAGATAGATAGAGAGAGAGAGAGAGATTTTCCCTTTTGAAAATTGGAAACAAAGGATCGAACGTCATGGATTTACTTCTACTTTTGACCATCTCGAGCCTTTACTGTTTTGCTTTTGGGGACAAGTGCGCGAGCGAGTGTTCTTGCAAGTGGAAAGGTGGCAAACGGACCGTAGAGTGCACTGATCGTCACCTGGCCAGCATACCCGACTCGATCGATCCGGAGACCCAGGTCCTGGACATCAGCGGGAACCTTATCAAGACATTGCCGGAAAATATTTTTGTCAAAGTGTACCTGACAAATTTGCAGCGTCTCTATTTACGGGAATGTCGTATCGACCACATTGACGACAATGCCCTGTCCGGTTTGACGAACTTGGTTGAACTCGACTTGAGTGGCAATCAATTGAAAGCCGTGCCAAGTCAAAGCTTTGCTAAAGCTCCATTTTTAAGGGACGTGGTACTCGCTGGAAATCCCCTTGAACGGATTCCCTCTTTCGCCTTTAAGAAGACACCAAATCTTGTTAAGCTAGATCTCTCCAATACAAAGTTAATCGAACTCCAGGAAAATGCATTTCTGGGTTTGGAAAATCTCGAGAGTCTTAGGTTGAACAACAATAAACTTTCAACCCTTCAACAGGGAACTTTACATCCCCTCAATAAACTCAGGAGCATCGAACTCCACGAGAACCCCTGGTTTTGTGATTGTCATCTGAGGGAGCTGAAGATATGCCTTATCAAGCACAATATCCCAACACTCATTGCCCCCGTTTGTCATGGACCCGAGCAGAATCTCAACAAAATGTTTACTGAACTTGTTGTCGAGGATTTTGCCTGTCAACCTGTTTTGCTAATCACTAGCCAATATGCAGAGGCAACTATTGGGGAGAATGCCAGTATTATTTGCAGGGTATCCGCAGTGCCACCGGCAAAAATCAAATGGTACTGGAATGGAAGATTACTGGCGAACCACTCAGCCTTCAGTAGCTATCAAAAGGTCTTGATCTACGAGGAAGGACAGTTTAGAAAAAGGAGCACTCTGGTCCTCACCAACGCCCAAGAATCGGACTCGAGTGAATTTTTCTGTGTGGCAGAAAATCGGGCCGGAAGTGTCGAGGCTAATTTTACACTTCACGTATCACTGAGAACAGCCGGAATGTCAACTTTAGGGTCGGGTCAGATAGCCGGAATCTCCGCGGCTCTAGTGGTTCTGATCCTCTTTATTCTGTTGATAATTCTCGTCTTATTCCTCCGTCTGAGGAGAATGCCCCAAAAGGACCACAAGAGTCCAACCCCTGCGGAAGTGGTCCCACCGGAAAATGTGGACAACGTACAATCGGCAACATCAACAATTAGCCGAAGAAAACATGAGGAAGTGGAGACGACTTCTTTTTCCGAAACAAAACACCCGGTCTCCTTGAATTTAAGTTACGTTCAGAGGCCGCAGCCCCGTCTCGACGAAGGCGAATACATGGTGAAACGATTCGAGGATAATCAGCCAATGATTCCCGGTCCCTGTTTCTCCTCAACGACATCCCTGATGCCGATCGACAATCCCGATCTCATCAGGGACACAAGAAGAGGCTCCGGCGAGGAGGTCGTTCTTCCCTACAATGGGGAATACAGTCGCGTCGAACTTGAGGACGCGAAACTATTGTACTCGGGTTGCCTCTGGGAGAGGGACGTCAGGACCACAGTCTCCGTCAATCCCTACACGTCCAAGGAGATGCTGGCGAATATGGCCTCTGTCGAGGCATTTCCACCCGGAGCAAAACAAATGCGAGTCTGGCAGAAGGGAGTTCCAGTTCTACCTCCAGTTTCCGCTTTGAAGCGCGTCCTCGGATCGACACGAAGTTCACCCGACGAAGGCTATCAAGAAGGCACTGGTACAGATGTCTAGGTACCACTACTTCATTACTGTGACGCCCGACATCGATACATGGAACTTCGCAGAAGACATCAGGAGGAAACGGACTGTTGATATAAATAAACCGCATCAATATATAAAAAGTCGGGCGACCGGTAGTGAAATACCTCGGCATGTGCTTATTCGTTTTAAAAATAAAAAAAAAAAAACTCTTCGACAGTGATTTATCGAGATATCAGATGAAAAGGGGTGAGAATAATCCATAAAAGATACACGTCTTGACTTGCGTAATAATCTCTAAGCAAATGGTCTTTAATTACATCCGGATTGTGTGGGTTCTCGACGTTAGGTTTTATAATCTTCGAAAGACATCTTGGTAATCCTCGAGGCATCTTTGATCTACGAGATATCTTGATTATAATCCTCAAGGAATCTTTAATCTTCATGATATCTTGATTATAATCCTCAAGATTATTACATTTCAATTATGGTCTTAAAGATATCTTGATTGTAATCAAAATAACTTAAAGATATTTTAATGGCAATCAGATATCTTAAATATATTTTGATTATAATCAAGTTATCTTTAAGATTTTAGGCTTAGAATCAAGATATCTTGATATTAAGCCTAAAATCTTAAAGATATCTTGATTTAAATCCTCAAGATTATTACATTTCAATTATAGACTTAAAAATATTTTGATTATAATCAAGATATCTTAAAGATATCTTGATTACAATCAGATATCTTAAGGATATTTTGATTATAATCAAGATTATAGATTATCTCAATTATAGACTTAAAAATATTTTGATTATAATCAAGATATCTTAAAGATATCTTGATTATAATAATATATCTTAAAAATATATTTTGATTATAATCAAGATATCTTTAAGATTTTAGGCTTATAATCAAAATATATTTAAGATATTTAAGATCTGATTATAACAGAGTGTCTACTAATCGGGAATTTAATTTGACCGGGAATAAGCCAGAAATTTTATGCCAAACCGGGAACTTTTTCACCAAATTAAAAAAAGTTTTATTATTTTAATTTGTTTTTGAAAAATCGCTTTTTATTTCATATTTTAATTCAATACTGTTCTGAAAATTTGAATTAGTTGAAAATAATTAATTTGAAAGTAAAAAATCAGTCACTGTTTCAAATACAGTATGTAAATAAATTTAAAAAAAATTATCGAATTAATAGAAATTTTGTGAAATTCAACTGAAAATAATCAAATTTGTTAAAGAATTTTATTAAAAACTTTTTAACAAATCGAATTTTCAAAGTATTTTAATTTAACAATTGATAAATAATTGAATTTTATAAAGAGTCACATTCTAATGTATTTATGTTTCGTAGTGCGAAGATTAATAATTAAAATTTTTATTAGTTAATTTAAAAAAAGATACACACTTAAAATTTTTTAATAAAATTGAATTTTCGTCAATTTTTTTTTTGAAAATTCTGAAAAATAAGATTTTTGAAATTTTTTAATTTTATTGTTTCAAGATAATTAAATTTTTATAAACAAATAATTAAAAATTTTTGAAATAATTGAAATTTCTTTACATTCTGTTAAAAATAATTGAATTCTTTTAAGGAATTTTATTTAAATTTTTTGAATATAATCAAGGGAAGTTAGTCACCGTAATTATAATTTTATTTTTAGAAATTTCTTCGCAATACATTCAATTATTTTTTAAAAATATTAAATAGTATAACTCATTGGAGAATTTTAATTATTTTTAATACAATTTTAATCAAATTCCTCGAAAAATGTAATTATTCTTAAAAATTTTATTAAAATTCTTAGAAAGAATTCAATTATTTCTAGAAACTGTAAAAAAATTCTTCACAAGAATTCAATTATTTTCATAAATTTTCATAAATTTTCATAAAATTCAAAAAAATGATTCAATTATTTTCAAAAGTAATACAATTCTTAGCAGAAATTCAATTTTGTTGACAAATTTTTTTTAAATTCTCAAAATTTCAATTATCTTTATAAATAAATAAATTGTTCTCTACAATTCAATTATTTTCAAAAATTTTATTAAAATTCTACGCAAACATTTAATTATTTTCATAAATAATAACATTTTTTGGAAGAATTCAATTACTTTTATAAATAGTAAAATTCTTTGCAGAAATTCAATTAGTATGAATACATTTTAATAAAATAAAATTAATCAAATTTTCAATTATAATTATGAACAGACAAGATATTTTTAAAAAATTGAAAAATTCTTTGTTTAATTGAATTATTTTTCGAATTTTTAATTAAAATCAATAAAAAAAACATTATTTTTAAACAATTTAAAGAAACTCGTCAAATTCATAAAAACTCTAATACACATTTTTGAAGTCATTTTTGTAGATTTATTTATGTTTGAAATGAAATAAATTTGATGAGAAAAATAACCGGGAAAAATTTGGACAAAGCCTGGAATTTTGTTGAACGAAAGTAGTAGACACCCTGTTATAATCAGGATATCTTATAAATATTTTGATTATAATCAAGATATCTTTAGAATTTTAGGCTTATAATCAAGATATCATTAAGATATTTGAGGATTATAATCTTAAAGACGATTATAATTCTCAAATCTTAAAGACATCTTGATTATAATCTAATGCTATCTGGATTATAATCAAAAAATTGAGATTCACTTCTGGATTGGTATCATAATCTAGATTTAATTGTGAAATTATTTGTGGATTGTAAGGATTATAAATCTTCAAATCTTAAAAAAATCTTGACTATAATCTGATGCCATTCTGGATTATAATCCGAAAATTAAGATTCACTTCTGGATTCGTATTATAATCGAGATTTAATTGTGAAACCATTTTGTGGATTGTAAGAATCGTGAAGTCGTGTTCTTGTCGAGAAAATTGTATTGCAGGTGATATCAGAAACTAAATCGAGACAATATCGTTGTTCAGTGTTCTCATGCAGCACAATATTGACGGGTATTTTCTGTTGCGGATATGCTCGTTCGTTATCTAAACGACAGATTTCTAAAGTATACAAAGACTGTTTAATGTTCCAAATAAAAAAAAAAAAAAAAAATGATATATAGGTAGAAACAAGTGAATCAATTAAAGGGGACATTATTATATGTGAGGGAAGTATGTGAATAATTACGAATGAGTTTTTTCTAGTCAATTCTGTAATTAGTTGCGGACGTGTATGTTGGAACTTATTCAATATATTATGGGTATCATTTAGAGGTCGTGGCCGAAACAAACCCTTTTTGTTATCTGAAATTTTCATATCATGAACAAGTTTTCTACTATTTTTTACTGGAATTGCAATTTTGCATATGTTTAGTTATTTTTAAAAATGTAAAAATTTTTCCGAATAGGTGTAAAATGTTTCATATTTTCTTGTTTCTTTGAAGAAATTAAAATTTCGTCGAAATCTACTTTTCTTATTGTTTTTCGTTAAAAAAATATTGGAGAGATTATATTCAATATAAGGGATTTTTTCTTTTTTTATTAAAAATATATATTTGTATATACAATAACCCATTAGTGCTGAAATGAGATGATCAATTTGAAAAATTTTTTCCTTAATTTGCCACTCTCTGTGGTTCTTCTTCTCTTTTTCTTTTTCATTTTTTTTTATTAAAAACTATAATCTGCAAAAGGCTTCAAAAGAGGCTTATGGAAAATGGTTTCTATTCATCCACGCTTACTTCCTGAAATTATTGGAAGTCCCACTAAGCCGGAAGACAATGTGACCTACTCTATTGCAGTGTCAATATTATTGATGTGCATAACAAATTCAAAAAACTTTTCTACCCCATATACATACGGGCTTCCATTTTTCATATTTATGTACAAGAGTTCCTCCAATAGCAATTTATTGTATTATTTACTCTTGTCATTTATTTATATAGCGACAATTTACCAATGAAAAATTGTGTCAAGTCGCTTATTGTTTGCATTTACTTTGGTAAATATTTATAATAGTCATATTTATTAATTCATTTTCTACGCAGCCTTTCAATTCTATTATATGCTCATCAACTTTAATTGTCGTGAATTTAATGCATAATTTATTTTCGGTCAAAGTTTTTTTCTCTTATGCTATTTTTCTTGATTCAGAATTCTTTATAATCATAATGTAATAATATTTATTTTATATAATTACTATTAATAATAATAATAATTATTATTATTATTGTCAGATTAATTTAAAAAGAAAATTCTTCAAAAAGAAAAAATGCAATTATTATAAATAATATTACAGAAATTCAATTATTTAAAATACAATTTTCATAAATTTTTTTGAAAGAAATTAATTATTTAAAAAAAATTTTATATAGTATAATATTTCACAAAAGCATTCAATTGTTTAAAAAGAAAAAGAAAATTCTTCACAAAAATTCAATTATTTAAAATACAATTTTCATACATTTTTTTGAAATGAAATGAATTATTTGAAAAAATTTTATAAAATGCTCCAAAAGAAATAAATTATTTTTAAGGATTTTAATAAAATTTATTTATCAAAATTCATTTAATAATATTTCACAAAAGAATTCAATTATTTAAAAAGAAGAAGAAAATTCTTAAAAAAAAAAATTCAATTATTATCATAAATAATATTACAGAAATTCAATTATTTAAAATACAATTTTCATACATTTTTTTGAATGAAATTAATTATTTAAAAAAATTTTTATATAATATAATATTTCACAAAAATGCAATTATTTTCATAAATAATAAACTTCTTCACAAAAATTCAATTATTTAAAATACAATTTTCATACATTTTTTTGAAATGAAATGAATTATTTGAAAAAATTTTATAAAATTCTCCGAAAGAAGTAAATTATTTTTAAGGATTTTAATAAAATTTGTTTATGAAAATTCATATATATTTTTAATCTAATTGTAATTAAATTCCTTGAAAAAATTCAATTATATTTTCAAAAATTAAAAAAATTATTATCAAAAATTCATTTATTTAAAGAAAACATTACGAAAATTCGTTGCAAGTATTCAATTATTTGTAAAATTTTTATTAACATTTTTTATAAGAATTCAATTCAAAAGAAATAATCAATTAAATTGAAGTCTTTGAAAATTTTAATTGTTGTAAAACTGATAATATTTCAAATACTTATTTTAAAAAATTATTAAATTATTAATTAAAATATTTATTTAATAAAAATTGTTCAAGTTTTGAATATAGTTTAATAAAAAATTAATAAATATTAAATATTAATATTTAATTCAAAAAATTAATGTTCTGTTCTGAAATAAATATGATATCGAAGATTTTTTAAAAATAGTTAAGTTCCCGTGAATAATAATTCACGAATATTAAATTAAATCTCCAATTAATTGGAAATGTCAAATTTAA